AGGAGGAGCACAGGAACAGGAGGAGCACACATACTTGCCTAAATGTAAAGGTCCTGAGTTTGATCTGAGCACCACAAAAAAAATTTAAATTATGTAATTAAAATAGTTTTAACTTTATCTGGGCATAGTGGCACACATCATTAATCTCAGCCCTTGAGAGGCAGAGGCAAGTAAGTGGATCTCTTTGGGTTCAAGGCCAGCCTCATCTACATAGCGAGTTCCAGAACAGCTAGGGCTGTGTATATAGAGACTTGTCTCAAAACACAAATCAAAACAGCAATAACAGCTTTAAATTATTCTTAAATTGTGTCTGTAGATATGAGTGCAGGTGCCCTCAGAGTCCAGGGTGTCAGATCTCCTGGAGCTGGATTTCAGTTGGCTGAGAAACACCTGATGTTCTGGGAATTGAACTTGGATCCTCTGGCAAAGCAATCCATGCTCTTTACTGCCAAGCCATCTCTCCAGTCCCTTATAGTAATTAAAAAACACCTCTTTCCTGAATGTTGAAGGTGAACTCCTTTAGAGAACAACCTTCTTTCTATATTCCAAGATATAGTCCAGACAATCATGGTCCTACATCTTACTGACCATAGAAACTGGCTGATTCAGGGAGAGACACAAGAAACCACCAATGCCTTCATCCTACTCCAACTACAAAAGCTGTCGATACCCATCTTGACCAGCAGGTGGCAAGAGTCTGTCAGAGGAAAGTAAAGCAACCAAGTAGACAGAGCCTAGGGTTATAAACTGAGGTCTGGTCACAGCTACCTGTAACCCAAGCACCTGGAAGAGATGCTGGAGCTTGAGGCCAGCCTGGGCTATGTATGCAGACCCTTTCTTTAAAAGCAAAACATAACACAAACACCTGACACATCTGATACTAACCAAGGATGGAAATAGAAGTCCCCAGCCATATTGGCCAAAACCATGTGTCTGTCCCTTTGCACCAGGAGTTCTGGCGAGCAGTCTCTATAACCACTTCTAGGAAACTGACCTAAAGAAATCAATTTGGATTGTGCACCCATGCTCATCTTGACCAGGGAGCAGACTCATCTAGTTGCATGAGCCCCGAGTAGCTGGGGCTACAGACAAATGCTGCCATGTGGCACAATGCATACAGATGGGAACTTAGAAGCAACCTAACACTCAACACAAGTACAGCAATTACTTCAACCTAGGAGAGCCAGTCAAACGTGCCAGTGATTTATTTCGTAGTAAAATCTGTCTAGTTCTGTGCACATCTAGAGTTTTCCATGTTAAGAATAGTACAACATAAAATTATATAGTGTAACCCAAAACCCTGACCATGGGTGTAGTATCTCTGCTGGCTAGTTTTATGTCAGCTTAACACCAGCTAGAGTCACTTTGGAAGAGGGACCTCTACCCAGGCAGGTGGTCCTGGACACTATAAGAAAGCAGTCTGAGCAAGCCAGTGAGCAGTACCCCTCCGTGGCTTCAGCTTCAATACTGGCCTCCAGGGTCCTGCTGGAGTTCAAAGGTGGAGTTGTAAACTGAAATAATCTCTCTCCTGGCAGGGTGGTGGTGGCACATGCCTTTAATCCCAGCATTTGGGAGGAAAAGGGCAGGTGGGTCTTGAAGTTTGAGGATGGCCTGGTCTGCAAAGCAAGTTCTAGACAGCCAGAGCTACACAGAGAGAAACCCTGTCTCAAAAAAGCAAAAACTAATGTCTTAGTTAGGGTTTCTATTGCAACTCTGTAGACCAGGGTGGCCTCGAACTCAGAGATCTGCCTGCCTCTGCCTCCCAAATACTGGGATTAAAGGATTGTGCCACTACTGCCTGGCTGACCACAACTCTCACAAAGGAAAACATTTCATTGTGGTGGCTCACTTACAGTTTCATAGGTTCAGTCCATTATCATCATGGTAAGACACAGTGGCATGCAGGCAGACATGGTGCTGGAGCTGAGTCCTTATATCTTGACTCAGGCAACAAGGAAGTAGTTTGAGACTAGACACTGGGTGGTATTTTGAATATATAGCACCTACACAGTCACACACTTCCTCCAACAAGACCAAACCTATTCCAACAAAGCCACCACACCTCCTAATAGTGCCACTTTCTATGAGATTATGGGGGTCAATTATGCTCAAACTACCACAACCAAAAAGCAAAACAAATCCTTCCTCCCTAAATTGAATGAAACTTTCATTCAACTTTTTTCAATGTTTTGTTCAATGAAACAAAAATCCTTTTGTTTCACTGAAGACAGTATTACAGATGAACTCTTTCACTAATTTTGAAATATTTTATAATAAAGAAAATTTGGAGATTTCCTTATGGAGAAAATGAAAATAATTATTCTGAGACATAAACTAGGAATTGTGTCTAAAGTAACTGCCCTCTCAAGGAAATTTGAGAGACCTTTTAAGTTTTATTTTTGAGACAGATTCTTGCTGTTCAGGTTAAGCCAGCCTCAAACTTGTGAGGCGGCCTCAGACTCTAAGTGCACTGAGAAGCATGCACTTCCTCATCTGGCTGCTGAAGAATCAGCGCCCTCTCTCACAAACTTGGGTGCATACACATAAGTGTTTGTATGAGCCTGAAATTCAATGTATTTATCCCTTCTGTTTGGAGCTCTTATTAGGAGCCATTGTTTTCTTTATCCATGGCCAATGGGTCTCTTATATGTAAGAGAGCTGATTCTACAGATCGGTATTTTATCTCCAAAATACTTGATATGTAAATATATAGATATAATATAAATTGAGTTTTTAATTAGGTCATCATGTTATCTCCAAATTGA